CATCATAGCATATAGATACACATGGCATGATCTTAATAATCATCATAATCATTGATGTTAGTATTATTATGAGTAGTAGTAGTAGCAGCAGCAGTAGTAGTAGTAGTAGTAGCAGTAGTAGTAGTAGTAGTAGCAGCAGCAGTAGTAGCAGCAGTAGTAGTAGTAGCAGTAGTACTAGTAGTAGTAGTAGTTGTAGTAGCAGTAGCAGTAGCAGTAGTAGCAGCAGTAGCAGTAGCAGTAGCAGTAGCAGTAGCAGTAGTAGTAGTAGTAGCAGTAGCAGTAGCAGTAGCAGTAGCAGTAGCAGTAGTAGTAGTAGTTGTAGTAGTAGTAGTAGTAGTAGTAGTAGTAGTAGTAGTAGTAGCAGTAGCAGTAGCAGTAGTAGTAGTAGTTGTAGTAGTAGTAGCAGTAGTAGTAGTAGTAGTAGCAGTAGGAGTAGTAGTTTTAGTAGCAGTAGTAGTAGTAGTAGTGGTGGTCGTCGTCGTATTAGTAGTAGCAGTAGGTAGTAGGAGTAGTAGTAGCAGTAGTTTTTGATGATCAATCCTCTTGATACGCTCTTCGTACTTGAAACCCCAAATCTCTGCTCCATACGTTATTATCGGTACGATGATCCTGTCCAATAAGAATAATGACCTGGTAATGTCAATCTGGAATTTACGTATGAACCTTATCAATCCGAAAGTTACTTTTCTGGCTTGCTGTGAAAGATGTGAATGAGTTGAGCTCCATGTTAGTTTACTTGTAATGGACACTCCAAGGTACTTATATTGGGAACTATTGTAATTGAAACCCATTGTAATGCCATCTCTCTCTCATCTTGACGATTCTTCCTCTTCTAAATACCATAATCTTTGTCTTGTCTTTATTCACTGTCATTCCGGACTTGCTGCAGACGTCACTAAGAAGGTCAATCTGTCGTTGTGACCCGTACACAGTCAGCTGCATAGGAGAGCTTTTATGTACGTGTTGAAAATCTCTCATTGCTAAAATACAGGGCGTGCTTAATTAAGTTCTTTGTGTATAGATAACTATTCCATAACAAACACAACACCTTACACTTTAAGTCCATGCGTTAATTAGCTGGAGTTCCTGTATGTAGTTGTTTGTAATGATGAAACTATACAAGAGGTAATTGATTGAAATGCGAGTTGACAACCGCAAACAAAACTCAAAAGGAACCACTAGGAGGCCGCTCATTACGTACATGTACACATACCGTCCAACCTATGATGATGATTCACAACTACTGACGGGTATCGAAGACATCTTATCGATTAAAATCGACAATAATAGTATTGCTTTCCTCGGCACGTATTTACGTTGTTATCATGACAGGTGTCATGTGGTTGGTTCATATTTAACGCTATTGTACACTGAACCAATTAATGTTTCCGTAAATTGACCCAGATTATTCTTAAACTCTTGCCGTAATGGACACTGTTGACCTAGACACGATCAGAGTGAACTGTCCCTTACTTACGGTAGTGTTATCTCGGCTTATGTTAATTATTTATTGATGCTGTGACCGTGTTACTGGGTTACTAAGTAGGTGACCGTGTGTAAACAGTGTAAGGCTGTAGAGAGGCACTATCAAGTGTCATGTGGTGTTGAACCCGAAGGACAACAGGGGAATACTTTCTTGCCAGTAAATCTGACAACATGACGTATGCTAAATCAACTGACATACATGTTTACCATCTACCCTGACCAGACGCACAGCTGGGTTCCTGCGTCAGGTGGGTCACGGGTAGCTTAGTCCTCCTATGTATCAGACAACTCGACGGAGTTGCGTCCCTTTGACGTGCCAGACGCCGGTGATATGAAGACTATCTTGACGTGGATTCGACATGAAGATTATCTCAATGCCCTGAATCTTCTTTTCAGTAGAACTATAACACTGTAGCAGTAGAACTATAACACTGTAGCTGTAAAACTATAGCACTGTAGCAGTAGAACTATAACATTGTAGCTGTAGAACTATAACACTGTAGCTGTAGAACTATAACACTGTAGCAGTAGAACTATAGCACTGTAGCAGTAGAACTATAACACTGTAGCTGTAGAACTATAACACTGTAGCTGTAGAACTATAACACTGTAGCAGTAGAACTATAGCACTGTAGCAATAGAACTATAGCACTGTAGCAATAGAACTATAACAGTGTAGCAGTAGAACTATAACAGTGTAGCAGTAGAACTATAACAGTGTAGCAGTAGAACTATAACGATGTAGCAGTAGAACTATAACACTGTAGCAGTAGAACTATAACGCTGTAGCAGTAGAACTATAACGCTGTAGCAGTAGAACTATAACACTGTAGCTGTAGAACTATAACGCTGTAACAGTAGAACTATAACACTGTAGCAGTAGAACTATAACGCTGTAGCAGTAGAACTATAACGCTGTAGCTGTAGAACTATAACACTGTAGCAGTAGAACTATAGCACTGTAGCAGTAGAACTATAACACTGTAGCAGTAGAACTATAACGCTGTAGCAGTAGAACTATAACACTGTAGCAGTAGAACTATAACACTGTAGCAGTAGAAATATAACACTGTAGCAGAGTTGGGTGACAATACGTAACACGGATGCTGTTTTAAGACGTTCAATGTACAATATTTTCTGATTGGAACACATTCAGTTGACGGTGATGGTATACTGTACAATATTTTCTGATTGGAACATATTCAGTTGATGGTGATGATATACTGTACACTATTTTCTGATTGGAACACATTCAGTTGACGGTGATGATATACTGTACACTATTTTCTGATTGGAACACATTCAGTTGACGGTGATGATATACTGTACACTATTTTCTGATTGGAACACATTCAGTTGACGGTGATGATATACTGTACAATATTTTCTGATTGGAACACATTCAGTTGACGGTGATGGTATACTGTACACTTTCTTCTGATTGGAACACATTCAGTTAACTGTGATGATATACTGTACACTTTCTTCTGATTGGAACACATTCAGTTAACTGTGATGATATACTGTACACTTTCTTCTGATTGGAACACATTCAGTTAACTGTGATGATATACTGTACACTTTCTTCTGATTGGAACACATTCAGTTAACTGTGATGATATACTGTACACTTTCTTCTGATTGGAACACATTCAGTTAACTGTGATGATATACTGTACAATATCTTTTGATTGGAACACATTCAGTTGACTGTGATGATATACTGTACAATATTTTCTGATTGGAACACATTCAGTTAACTGTGATGATATACTGTACAATATCTTCTGATTGGAACACATTCAGTTAACTGTGATGATATACTGTACACTTTCTTCTGATTGGAACACATTCAGTTAACTGTGATGATATACTGTACAATATCTTCTGATTGGAACACATTCAGTTGACGGTGATGATATACTGTACACTATTTTCTGATTGGAACACATTCAGTTAACTGTGATGATATACTGTACACTTTCTTCTGATTGGAACACATTCAGTTGACGGTGATGATATACTGTACAATATCTTCTGATTGGAACACATTCAGTTAACTGTGATGATATACTGTACAATATTTTCTGATTGGAACACATTCAGTTAACTGTGATGATATACTGTACAATATCTTCTAATTGGAACACATTCAGTTGACGCAGCACACAGCAGTATTTTACCAGCTTCTCATCAGCCTGTAATCAATCGAGTCTGGACTAGACAAACCAGGGGTGAATATCATCAACAACATCACAATCCGATGACACACAGTCAACCAATTGATCGAGATGACACACTGTCAACAAGGTATCATGACACACAGTCAACCAATTCATCGATATGACACACAGTCAACCAATTCATCGATATGACACACAGTTAACCAATTCATCGATATGACACACAGTCAACCAATTCATCGATATGACACACAGTCAACCAATTCATCGATATGACACACTGTCAACCAAGTCATCGAGATGACACACTGTCAACCAATTCATCGATATGACACACAGTCAACCAATTCATCGATATGACACACAGTCAACCAATTCATCGAGATGACACACTGTCAACAAGGTATCATGACACACAGTCAACCAATTCATCGAGATGACACACGGTCAACCAATTCATCGAGATGACACACTGTCAACAAGGTATCATGACACACAGTCAACCAATTCATCGAGATGACACACTGTCAACAAGGTATCATGACACACAGTCAACCAATTCATCGATATGACACACAGTCAACCAATTCATCGAGATGACACACAGTCAACCAATTCATCGAGATGACACACAGTCAACCAATTCATTGATATGACACACTGTCAACCAATTCATCGATATGACACACAGTCAACCAATTCATCGAGATGACACACAGTCAACCAATTCATCGATATGACACACTGTCAACCAAGTCATCGAGGTGACACACTGTCAACAAGGTATCATGACACACAGTCAACCAATTCATCGAGGTGACACACAGTCAACCAATTCATCGATATGACACACAGTCAACCAATTCATTGAGATGACACACAGTCAACCAATTCATCGAGATGACACACAGTCAACTAATTCATCGATATGACACACAGTCAACCAATTCATCGATATGACACACAGTCAACCAATTCATCGAGATGACACGAAGTCAACAACGTCGCTTGATGAATTATATTCCTCCCATAGCTTCCTCTAAATTGTTCCTTCAACGTTGAGACACTGAGGCCCGGAAACGTCCTGGATGTCCCGGGTACAAGTAGTCTTCAGCAAGCCATGTTGGTAATAAAATGTAACTAACGGAATCAGATGGTCAGTCAGACTGACTGGCTTGACCTTGTTACGTAGACCTACAATCGTGACGTCAAGCACTCATTGGTCTATGGTCAAAACTCGAACATTTACAGACTAGCGTTTTGTAGATGGAATATTTCTGACCACGGTGTAAACAAACAATGCATTTATTTAGTATTACTCCTGTATTTCAGACAGGATCAGTGACGGATGTCAAGACACCTGTAGGCTTCTTCAACGATGGCGGACTTTGACCTGCAGTTTTTCAGTAAGTACGAGTTTTCCCCTAAACAAGAAAGTAAAATAGGTCCCCGTCAAATCTCTACCTCAGCGACACACACAAACTGAATGGTGATATGTCTAAATTACTGAATATGTCGAAAGTATCACGATATTAACAGTCTTCTCCTACATTGAATCCAGCAACACCGACGTGTTTTTTACAGATTCGTGTGTACCCATAGCTTACCCTTGTACTGTTGGTGACGTGTACACCGACCCGTGCAACTGTGTCAACTTCTTCTTGTGTGAGATCAACACCAAGATAATACCCCGGAGCTGCAGCGATGGGACAGCCTTCAACCATGAGAATGAACAGTGTGACAGCACGTCCGACGTGGTGATCATCGACAAACTGTGTGATCTTGAGAAGCCCTACAACAGGTGTTCTGCTGGTAGGTTTGTGTGTGTATGTGTGGTTGTGTTTGAGTGTGTGCGTGTGTGTATGAGTGTGTCTGTGTGTGTATGTGTGGTTGTGTTTGAGTGTGTGCGTGTGTGTATGTGTGTGTCTGTGTGTGTATGTGTGGTTGTGTTTGAGTGTGTGCGTGTGTGTATGGGTGTGTCTGTGTGTACGCTTGGGTGAGTGGGTAAGTGATACAGTTTAACATTGCTTCAAACAACATGTCAGATCACAGCCTGTGGTCTTGATTAAAGCTGTCCTTGTACGTAGTGCACGGTTACCACGTTCAGCATGACGTGTGGTACGAGTGATGACGAGCTCCTGTTGGACCAAGAAGACCATTTGGGAAAACATGGGATTCGAACCAACAACCAGTGCATCTATGAAGTTTGTGTAGTTTGTGTAGTTTGTGAGGTGAGGTGAGGTGAGGTGAGGTGAGGTGAGGTGAGGTGAGGTGAGGTGAGGTGAGGTGAGGTGAGGTGAGGTGAGGTGAGGTGAGGTGAGGTGAGGTGAGGTGAGGTGAGGTGAGGTGAGGTGAAATTGGGTTTAACGTAGTACTTGAGAATATTTTACTCATATGACGATGTGCATGCGTGTGTGTGTGTATGTGCGGCTGCTCGTACTAGCCCAGACTTAAGCTGGTTTTATAGTGCTAACTCACTGAGATACCACGCCGCAGTTAAGCATGAATACCCAGCTCAGACACATAACAGTGACTCCGAGCCGACCAGTCCTTGTTGTACCAATTAGTGCCGGGCGCCAGGCAGGGACCAACAAGTACCATACTTTTACGTCTTTTGGCATGACGCGGCCGGGGATCGAACCCGCGACCTTCCGCTCTCCGGGAGGGCGCTCTAACCATTACACCACCGGGGTTGCGTCTCGTTTGTGGATGTAACTCAATCCAGTGAATAATCCCATTGAAGCAAGCTTCGAAATTATATTCTAGTACAAAATGTATTTGATGGTAATGAAGTGGTGAGGAAACATGAAACATGGTTGATGTATGGTGGTACAGTGCCTGGTGCCGACCTCCCGTATCTACAGGCCCGATGTACAGGGACCGCAACGACCACACCTGGCAGCCACAGCGACAACACAGGAGCGATAGTGGCGGGTGTTGTCGTCTCAATCTTAGTCGTCGCTCTCATCGTCGTTCTGGTCCTTTACCTGAAGAAACGTGGGAAGCCGCTCAGGTGGGTGCAGCTTTGTCACGTGACCCAGACGGCAGACAAATGTGTGATCAGTTTCAATCAATTAAGTTTGAAAATCAATATGTAAACAGTAGTTAAAATATTTCGAGACCAAGAGCAGGATACTGTGATTTACACCCGAGTGCCCGGTTTGATTCCCAATATGGTAACAATGTCGGTATCCAGGTGTTCATGTTCCCTGCCGGGATGTTACAGAATTATTGTAAATTTGTTGTAACTCAGTTCCAATCATTCGAGCATTCGGTACTAAACAGAGAAACGTCAGACATTCCTACCTGTATTAGAGCGCACGCGCACGCACACATACACACCTGCACGCACGCTCGCACAAACACACTCACGCGCGCGCGCTCAGCCAGGTTTCAGTTAACCATTGTTGATGTTGATGAAGAAGGTGGTTTTACAAGTGATGGGTTGTTCCAGTGACTACATGGGCGTCTTCAAGCGGAAGCAGGGGACACAGGACAAGTCTGAGGAACCATATGCTGAGATCGGAGAAATGGTGAGTGATTTCCTGCTTACATTAGATGCTTGGTCAGATGATGATATAGGCACAGAATAGTCTACACTCAGTCGGTCGTATATACACACAAATATACAAGATGGCCGCCGTTATGTCCAGGTCGAAGACAGCCCTCATGAAGGTTATAGTAAATTATACTCCAAGGAACTCACACATAGAGACATCAGTTCTTAAATGACGGCTATGTTCCAAAGTTTAACATGCTGTGTTCCAGAGTTTAACATGCTGTGTTCCAGAGTTTAACATCTTGTGTTCCAGAGTTTAACATGCTGTGTTTCAGAGTTTAACATCTTGAGTTCCAGAGTTTAACATGCTGTGTTCCAAAGTTTAAATTACTGTGTTCCAGAGTTTAACATCTTGTGTTCCAAAGTGTAACATGCTGTTTTCCAGAGTTTAACTATTTGTGTTCCAGAGTTTAACATCTTGTGTTCCAAAGTTTAACATCTTGTGTTCCAGAGCCACCCAGTGTACAAGGACACGAACGGAACCGGCCCCCCTCTGCCGCCTGACCGACCCGATTTCACCCTCTCCCCCGCCCTCAAAGTGAGCCAGATGAAGGACCCGGGCAGGGCCCGGTCTCAGCGCGAGGAAGTAGCATATGATAATCCAGGATACGCACATGATGATGACGTCATACAAGGAAATGCGTCAGAGATGACGTCAGTAACACTTACTGTGCCCGACACCTCCGCTGCAGCCACGGACACGCTAAATCAGGCACATTACTCTCCCTTGGATGAAAACAGATTGGAGTCCCCAACTCCCAAGTCTTACACCCCTCTGAGTATTTACACCAGAGGCCCAAACCCGAACTCTTCCAACGACACAGGGGGTGTTGTGCAAGTTTCGGATAACGACTACCAGGTGCCGAGACCTTTTCCGGAATACTGTGAACTTGAACCTGGCTCCACAAGCGTGTCTTGAAGAATGACGTCTCAATAGTCCAGATTATACGCTGATATAATTGATGAAGTGCCTCCAAAAGTTAGCAGATAGGTTGATCAAAATGATTATGAAGATTCTGTTATTCCCAGCTGTCTGAAGATTGTGCTGCAAATAGTGTCCGACTGCTGCCTGATACCACGTGACGTGTGGTAACGCAGGTACCAACTGACAGCTGTAATGAACCATGTAGCCTACAGATCACCGGGAGGGTTGCTGTGACTGAGGTCGGCTATAGCGAACCCGATTCTAATTAATGTAATCAACTTATCACACTGAGAAGAAACTTAGTTTATATCGACTTAATTTCAGGGTTCGTTACAACTAGATTTGTTGTACAACAGCATTACGTTTATATTGATGTTAGTGCTGATATCTCAGTGTGAGTGAGTGAGTGAGTGACATCACAGCGTATCAGTGTGATGTGAGAGGGTCTGGAGTGGACAAACCATTAGTAATAATCTGGATAAATCTGGGATTCGAATGGTTGTACAGTATTAGTTATACAATAATATATTGATGTATCCATAGGATGTACTGTAGCACACTCAAATCTGTATCACAGAAAACGCATTACTGATATACATGTTTTACAAGGTTCCACCGTGTAACCAAACTACAGACAGTTGCAGTAATCAAAGTGTATGCGTCTATACCTGCCTAATGTTGTACAGGAACTAACACCAATGTGCCTGTGGCTAAAACTGCCACAACAAGAACTGGTTATGGCGATGCAGATGGATATCAAGTTTTGTATTTTAGCTGCTGATTTTAGGCTTGTAACGTTTGAAAACAAATTGACGTTTTGGTCTCATGCATTTGTTTCAAGTTTGCAGTCAATTTGGTTGGTATGTTGGTTTTTGTCTGTTATACGGTATTTTTACTTTAGTGGCAGGTATTACATTAAGGTTATCAGTTAAAGGCTCCATTCATACAGCAAGTATTACTGTATCATCATTACTATGTCAAAGGTATACCCAACCTGGTTCTCGGCCGTCACTGAGCGGCGTCATCTTGTTAAGTATTATTCGTAGCGTGAGAATTGGTTAGGGCATGAGCAATTAGCCATCTTATCGGTTATCTCCCTTGTAGCAGATTTTGTACAACTTTACAAGAACCTGTGTAATGGAGACACTGTTTAGACTCCACAGATTCGGGTTGTCACTTCCTCTGCAATATCCTGTCTGCGATGGACACGGTAACGGTCAGGGGAGTTGGGGGATCTTCCTCAGAAACCACATTTGTTCTGATATTATCATGTACATATGTCACATTGTTGTAAACACGATGACAATAAATGAAATGTTTGAAAATACATATCATTACGTTGTTCTCAGATATTGTCAGTCACAGAGTAAAACATTATACGATGTACCGTTTGTCAGTCAGTGGGTACACGGTAGGATGTAATTGTAAACCTTCCAGCACCTTCTAGCATGGGTTGTATACTCCCCGTGGAGGTGGGCAGGGAATCAAGTGCACATTGCTCCACTGACCGGGTTAGTAATGAGCATGCTTTCAAGTGGGAATTTGGGGCAGTAATATCAGAGATGTTTTCAAGTGGGAATTTGGGGCAGTAATATCAGAGATGCTTTCAAGTGGGAATTTGGGGCAGTAATATCAGAGATGTTTTCAAGTGGGAATTTGGGGCAGTAATATCAGAGATGTTTTCAAGTGGGAATTTGGGGCAGTAATATCAGAAATGCTTTCAAGTGGGAATTTGGGGCAGTAATATCAGAGATGTTTTCAAGTGGGAATTTGGGGCAGTAATATCAGAGATGTTTTAAAGTGGGAATTTGGGGCAGTAATATCAGAGATGTTTTCAAGTGGGAATTTGGGGCAGTAATATCAGAGATGCTTTCAAGTGGGAATTTGGGGCAGTGATATCAGAGATGTTTTCAAGTGGGAATTTGGGGCAGTAATATCAGAGATGTTTTCAAGTGGGAATTTGGGGCAGTAATATCAGAGATGCTTTCAAGTGGGAATTTGGGGCAGTAATATCAGAGATGTTTTCAAGTGGGAATTTGGGGCAGTAATATCAGAGATGTTTTAAAGTGGGAATTTGGGGCAGTAATATCAGAGATGTTTTCAAGTGGGAATTTGGGGCAGTAATATCAGAGATGTTTTCAAGTGGGAATTTGGGGCAGTAATATCAGAGATGTTTTCAGAATCCAAGTACAACTCCACCGTTCTAGTGGAACCACGGTGTCACGTGACGTGTTTTGGCCTCACGTGAGACCGGACCCAGGATGTGTCGAAGCACGTCGGGTAACCCAGTCGTATAAAGACGCCTCGATTCGCTGTACAGAGCTGCGTCCCTTAGACATGTCGGGATCCCATGTTTAACAGTTTAAATCTCTGATACCGTGGACAGAATTGTCAACACAAGTGGTAATCCTATGACATCTCCCTTATTGCTTCGCCAACATCCAGCAGTCCGTAACATATAGGAAATACTATCCAAACCAAAGTCTCACATTCTTCACTGAAATATTCAAATCATGTGGTAATAGAATCTGTCATGATATTGCGTTTCTATTGTGGTTGAGTATAACATCTACTGTGCTAGTGATTCAGACACAATAACGAGAGTTTACTGCTACTGGAATGTTTATTCCGTTTAACTCAGAAAATAATACAAAACATGAAAATACCAAGATAACAAGAAGTAACACACAGACATGACGTCATTCTCAAACCTGCCTCTATCACACGGTGGACGATCAAGCTACACCACAGACGTTTAAACATCTGTACAAAAGGCTGTTTCATTTCATGAACAAACCGACTCCACACCACACACAGATATGCATGAAAAACGTATACAATGATCATTTCAATAAAGACAAATGGCAACAAAATTATACTTTCAAATGCAACAATAAAAATCATATGAATAACAAAAGTCGTGATTCATCCAGTGATCTACACGACGAAAACCCAACAATGGAGTGAAAACGCATTTCGCTTCCAATTTCCATCTACCTGATTTTTACTTTCATGACAAATAATTGTGAGTAAAAACAATGCGTCTACATAGTTCCACATCCTTTTCCAAGTCGGAATTATCACTGGACGACATATTATGAAAACCTGTATCAAGCGGTTGTCTGCAGAGACTTGAGGTCGGAGTTTGGATCCCATGGTCGTGTCATACAAAAATTCGTTGTAATTGTGTTACCCTGTTTAGTAGTGTCATGCCATAAGACGTCGTAATTGTGTTACCCTGTCTGCTCGCGTAATACCATAAGACGTTGTACTTGTGTAACCCTGTCTGGTAGTGTCATACAATAAGACGTTGTAATTGTGTTACCCTGTCTGGTCGCGTCATACAATAAGACGTTGTAATTGTGCTACCCTGTCCGCTCGTGTCATACCATAAGACGTTGTAATTGTGTTACCCTGTCTGGTCGCGTCATACCATAAGACGTTGTAATTGTGTTACCCTGTGTGCTCGCGTAATACCATAAGACGTTGTAATTGTGTAAACCTGTCTGGTCGCGTCATACCATAAGACGTTGTAATTGTATTACCCTGTCTGCCCGCGTGATACCATAAGACGTTGTAATTGTATTACCCTGTCTGCCCGCGTCATACAATAAGGCGGCGTTGTAATTGTGCTACCCTGTCTGCTCGCGTCATACCATAAGACGTTGTAATTGTATTACCCTGTCTGGTAGTGTCATACCATCGTTGGTAGTCTGTCATACCATAAGACGTTGTAATTGTATTACCCTGTCTGCTCGCGTCATACCATAAGACGTTGTAATTGTGCTACCCTGTCTGCTCGCGTCATACCATAAGACGTTGTAATTGTATTACCCTGTCTGCTCGCGTCATACCATAAGACGTTGTAATTGTATTACCCTGTCTGCTCGCGTCATACCATAAGACGTTGTAATTATGTTACCCTGTCTGGTAGTGTCATACCATAAGACACAGTGATGTCACATCCTGTTACTGGACTTTGTAAACAAAAAATTACATCATGGCGTTTCCTAGTTACATTCTAATCACGTACGTTGAATAACTCCGTCAATACCTATAATATAAGTTAGGGGGGCTTTCTAAGCAGGTAATCAGAATTCAGACTTCTCGATACGATCACGACAGAGTCATCTTTAAAATAAACGTTAAAGGAATGGAAAATATATAAAAAGAACTAAAACCCTCTGAGTTTTTACCTCTTTGGCATCAGCTAAATTATGTACAGAGTAAAAAGCTAAAACAATACCATGAAATACCTCAATCAATTCGTTCTTAGTATTGGGAATAATGCTATTGGTCTTTGGCGTGTCCAGTACAAAGAACGTATTACAAGATGTGATCGGTTTTAACTGTGAGTTCTGGACACGTACCATCTTGACGGTGTGCGGGTAGATCATGTTCTGCTCCGATAACTGCTCGATGTAATTACCGAGGCACTTAAAGCAGCAGATAGCCGTGAATACCTGGACTCGACACAACTGTATATACCGCCACCAGAGGCCATTCGCCAACCACTGCTGGCATTCCCGCACGTCACGGAAACATGTGAGGGGTGACGAATTGGAAACGTGTTTGTCTCTAATTCAGTAGTGAATGAAGCACAAGTAAAATATACAATGCTACAGGTGTGTGACAAATACTGGCCGTACATGTACTGGCCGGATTAACAAATTACCTGTACAGTGGGAATGTATCTGTAGAGTTTGAATCTATTTGTACAGTGTGTATGTGTTTGTACAGTAGATTGTATCTATACAGTGTGTATGCATGTGTACAGTGTGTATGCATGTGTACAGTGTGTATGCATGAGTACAGTGTGTATGCGTGTGTATGTTTACAGTGTGTATGTGTACAGTGGGTATGCATGTGTACAGTGTGTATGCATGTGTACAGTGTGTATGCATGTGTACAGTGTGTATGCATGTGTACAGTATGTATGCATGTGTACAGTGTGTATACATGTGTACAGTGTGTATGCATGTGTACAATGTGTATGCATGTGTATAGTGTGTATGCATGTGTACAGTGTGCATGCATGTGTACAGTGTGCAGGCATGTGTACAGTGTGAATGCATGTGTACAGTGTGTATGCATGTGTACAGTGTGCAAGTGTACAGTGTGTATGCATTTGTACAATGTGTATGTGTGTACAGTGTGTATGTGTGTGTACAGTGTGTATGTGTGTACAGTGTGTATGCACGTGTACAGTATGTATGTGTGTGTACAGTGTGTATCCATGTGTATAGTATGTATCCATGTGTACAGTGTGTATGCATGTGTACAGTGTTTATGCATGTGTACAGTATGTATGCATGTGTACAGTGTGTATGCATGTGTACAGTGTGAATGTATCTGTACAATGTGAACGTATCTGTATGGTGTTATTGCATCTGCACTGTGTTTTGGGTGCAGTTCAGACGTGTTGAATACAATGCTTTAACAGATGAATGTGTTGTGGTGGGACGTGTTACCATGCGCTGTATGCGAGGAATGGTCCCCTGATCCCCAAGTATACTTGTAAACAATAGCCCTATATACTGAATGGTCCCCTGGTCCCCAAGTATACTTGTAAACAATAGCCCTATATATTGAATGGTCCCCTGATCCCCAAGTATACTTGTAAACAATAGCCCTATATATTGAATGGTCGTTTGGTCCCCAAGTATACTTGTAAACAATAGCCCTATATACTGAATGGTCCCCTGGTCCCCAAGTATACTTGTAAACAATAGCCCTATATACTGAATGGTCCCCTGATCCCCAAGTATACTTGTAAACAATAGCCCTATATACTGAATGGTCCCCTGGTCCCCAAGTATACTTGTAAACAATAGCCCTATATATTGAATGGTCGTTTGGTCCCCAAGAATACTTGTAAACAATACTGAATGGTCCTCTGGTGCCCAATATAGCCCTATATACTGAATGGTCCCCTGGTCCCAAAGTATACTTGTAAACAATAGCCCAATATATTGAATGGTCCCCTGGTCCCCAAGTATACTTGTAAACAATAGCCCTATATATTGAATGGTCCCCTGGTCCCCAAGTATACTTGTAAACAATAGCCCTATATACTGAATGGTCCCTGGTCCCCAAGTATACTTGTAAACAATAGCCCAATATACTGAATGGTCCCCTGGTCCCCAAGTATACTTGTAAACAATAGCCCAATATACAATATATACTGAATGGTCCCCTGGTCCCCAAGTATACTTGTAAACAATAGCCCTATATATTGAATGGTCCCCTGGTCCCCAAGTATACTTGTAAACAATAGCCCTATATATTGAATGGTCCCCTGGTCCCCAAGTATACTTGTAAACAATAGCCCAATATATTGAATGGTCCCCTGGTCCCCAAGTATACTTGTAAACAATAGCCCAATATACTGAATGGTCCCTGGTCCCCAAGTATACTTGTAAACAATAGCCCAATATATTGAATGGTCCCCTGATCCCCAAGTATACTTGTAAACAATAGCCCAATATACTGAATGGTCCCCTGATCCCCAAGTATACTTGTAAACAATAGCCCAATATATTGAATGGTCCCCTGGTCCCCAAGTATACTTGTAAACAATAGCCCAATATATTGAATGGTCCCCTGGTCCCCAAGTATACTTGTAAACAATAGCCCTATATACTGAATGGTCCCCTGGTCCCCAAAAGTATACTTGTAAACAATAGCCCAATATATTGAATGGTCCCCTGGTCCCCAAGTATACTTGTAAACAATAGCCCAAATATACTGAATGGTCCCCTGGTCCCCAAGTATACTTGTAAACAATAGCCCAATATATTGAATGGTCCTCTGGTGCCCAAGTATACTTGTAAACAATAGCCCTATATATTGAATGGTCCCCTGGTCCCCAAGTATACTTGTAAACAATAGCCCAATATACTGAATGGTCCCCTGATCCCCAAGTATACTTGTAAACAATAGTCCAATATACTGAATGGTCCCCTGGTCCCCAAGTATACTTGTAAACAATAGCCCAATATACTGAATGGTCCCCTGATCCCCAAGTATACTTGTAAACAATAGTCCAATATACTGAATGGTCCCCTGATCCCCAAGTATACTTGTAAACAATAGCCCTATATATTGAATGGTCCCCTGATCCCCAAGTATACTTGTAAACAATAGCCCTATATATTGAATGGTCCCCTGGTCCCCAAGTATACTTGTAAACAATAGCCCAATATATTGAATGGTCCCCTGATCCCCAAGTATACTTGTAAACAATAGCCAAATATACTGAATGGTCCCCTGGTCCCCAAGTATACTTGTAAACAATAGCCCAATATATTGAATGGTCCCCTGGTCCCCAAGTATAATTGTAAACAATAGCCCAATATACTGAATGGTCCCCTGGTCCCCAAGTATACTTGTAAACAATAGCCCTATATATTGAATGGTCCCCTGATCCCCAAGTATACTTGTAAACAATAGCCCAATATACTGAATGGTCCCCTGGTCCCCAAGTATACTTGTAAACAATAGCCCAATATATTGAATGGTCCCCTGATCCCCAAGTATACTTGTAAACAATAGCCCAATATATTGAATGGTCCCCTGATCCCCAAGTATACTTGTAAACAATAGCCCTATATAATATATTGAATGGTCCCTGATCCCCAAGTATACTTGTAAACAATAGCCCAATATATTGAATGGTCCCCTGGTCCCCAAGTATACTTGTAAACAATAGCCCTATATGTTGAATGGTCCCCTGGTCCCCAAAGTATACTTGTAAACAATAGCCCAATATATTGAATGGTCCCCTGGTCCCCAAGTATACTTGTAAACAATAGCCCTATATGTTGAATGGTCCCCTGGTCCCCAAGTATACTTGTAAACAATAGCCCAATATATTGAATGGTCCCCTGGTCCCCAAGTATGCTTGTAAACAATAACCCTATATACTGAATGGTCCCCTGGTCCCAAAGTATACTTGTAAACAATAGCCCAATATATTGAATGGTCCCCTGGTCCCCAAGTATACTTGTAAACAATAGCCCTATATGTTGAATGGTCCCCTGGTCCCCAAGTATACTTGTAAACAAAGCCCTATATATTGAATGGTCCCATGGTCCCCACAAGTAAACTTGTAAACAATAGCCCAATATATTGAATGGTCCCCTGATCCCCAAGTATACTTGTAAACAATAGCCCAATATACTGAATGGTCCCCTGATCCCCAAGTATACTTGTAAACAATAGCCCAATATATTGAATGGTCCCCTGGTCCCCAAGTATACTTGTAAACAATAGCCCAATATATTGAATGGTCCCCTGGTCCCCAAGTATACTTGTAAACAATAACCCTATATACTGAATGGTCCCCTGGTCCCAAAGTATACTTGTAAACAATAGCCCAATATATTGAATGGTCCCCTGGTCCCCAAGTATACTTGTAAACAATAGCCCTATATGTTGAATGGTCCCCTGGTCCCCAAGTATACTTGTAAACAACAGCCCTATATATTGAATGGTCCCATGGTCCCCACAAGTATACTTGTAAACAATAGCCCTATATGTTGAATTCTGTGAAACATATTACGTATGTAGACACAAACTCAGAAGCAAGAAAAATCAAATATCAGTTGATTGTATCGCAAGTTTGATGTTTAGCTGGACATATAGCAAGTCAGCGATATTACATCCAGAAATAGAACTTGTCTGACGCTCCGTCAGCTCACAAAGAAACTTTGCAATTTCTTATTTTAAACAAAATGCAACTTGATTTAAAACTTTAAAACACCCCGAATAATTTCACATTATACATATCTCACCACAGCGTCCATTGTACCAGTGTACCATTACAGAACATTACTTTATACAAACATACCTAGCTGCTGATTATTTTATACAAACATACCTAGCACCCGATTACTGATTACAATCATATCTAGCACCTGATTACTGATTACAAACATACCTAGCACCTGATTACTGTTTACAAACATACCTAGCACCTGATTACTGATTACAAACATACCTAGCACCTGATTACTGATTACAAACATACCTAGCACCTGATTCTTTCATACAAACATACCTAGCACCTGATTACTGATTACAAACATACCTAGCACCTGATTACTTTATACAAACACACCTAGCACCTGATTACTGATTTGTGTTACATGTCCGGTTATGCCTCTACCCCAGTTGGCGTCAGTTTATGGAAACCCGGGCTGGATGAGAATGGCGAGGACACAAACTATCATGGACAAAATTTTACAATCAAAACTCGTGCGACATCCGGAGTGTGCTTCCCTAAGGGCGGTGTCTGACTTCATTATTGTCGACAAGCTGACCGTGGCCTCAGTCGTGTCGCTAATCAAGGCCTCATCTTGAGCTTCTGTTATTGTTGTTATTGTTGTTGTTGCCGTTGTTGTCGTTGTTGTTGCGGTTGTTGATGTTGATGAAGCTGAAGCACAACATACATTTGAAACTTATTCCATGCTACACCTGACAATTTCCTCCAGGTACAGCGGCTAAATGAATGAAATGGCAGATTTTCCCACCTCTAACGGAACACCTGAGTAGCTTCGTGACCCAGGGTGACCTGTTCGTCGTGTATGTTGCACTGTACTTCTACATCTGGCGAGAATATCAGCCGATGTGAAACATTGCTCCCTGAAAACCCCTGAAATCTGCTCTTTCGGCTCTTTCTCGTTTTATGACAAATTTCGTATTTTAAGTTCAAAACTGATATGTGTGAGGTGAGCTTTTCATTCAGGTCAACCTATTTGACACTGTCACAGAGGGTGTGAGGTGAGCTTGTCATTCAGGTCAACCTATTTGACACTGTCACAGAGGGTGTGAGGTGAGCTTGTCATTCAGGTCACCAACCTATTTGACACTGTCACAGAGGGTGTGAGGTGAGCTTGTCATTCAGGTCAACCCATTTGACACTGTCACAGAGGGTGTGAGGTGAGCTTGTCATTCAGGTCAACCCATTTGACACTGTCACAGAGGGTGTGAGGTGAGCTTGTCATTCAGGTCAACCTATTTGACACTGTCACAGAGGGTCCTTATCAACCCTGTGCTGCAGAAGATCAGGTATATGTTTATATAACTCGACGTTATTAATAACACTGGAAACATACAGCTGGAGAAGATAGGCAGTGAGTCATCAAACTACTTCTAATGTTTATGAGGTCCACTTTAGTGGTATGTGTGTGCGTGTGTGTGTCTGTGTGTGTTTGTGTGTGCTTGTATGTGAGTGAGTAAGCGTGTGTGCGTTTGAGTAAGCGTGTGTGTGCGTGTGTTTCTGTAGTGTCTGTGTGGTTAGTGTGGTGTTTGTGGTGATGATGCCATTCCCTTTGTTTCAACGGTATTGCTGACGTGTTCAGATATAGTTCAAGGGCACCATAACTCACTGGCATGAGAGTTACAAGAAAACGATGTCATCATAGGGAGCTGTCCAATCTCAGGAGAATGTGCAGGAACTCACGTGACTGTGTTGTTGCACATACGGCCCCTTTGCTCATGGAGACGTAGGTCGTGGCCAAGTTGTGCATCACCGTTTCTGCCTCTGCTCCACACAGCGTCTTGGCAGCGACCCGACAACACGTGACGAATTCGTCCAGGGCTCTGTAGCAGAGTATCCGAGTTTGGATTTGAACATCATGTCAGTTGCATCACACATGTCAACTAATGGTGGGAGGAAGGCTAGGGTGGTGCAGGTATGAGACGTTCACATTCCTGGCGCAGGTCACCAGCAACGATAAAGAACAAGGACAAAGGAAGAATTATGCGAATCTGGTGTCTGATCCCATGAACTCAGGATCCTGGCACACTTAGAAACGCAACTGGGGTGGCGGGGTAGCCTAGTGGTTAAAGCCTTCGCTCGTCATGCCGAAGACCCGGGTTCCATTCCCCACATGGGTACAATGTGTGAAGCCCATTTCTGGTCTCCCCCGCCGTGATATCACTGGAATATTGCTAAAAGCGGCGTAAAAACTAAACTCACTCACTCACTCTCACGAGGAACGCAACTGTACGCGACAAGACCAACCGGGGTCTTTAATCTAAATATTTGTCTGTATTTTCAGCTGGTAAAGCCGTGGTTATCCTCACCTGCACATCTCCATCTTGGATCCGTCTACACGCTTCACGTCGTCGTTGCACAAATCGACCTCCATGTTGATTTCTTGCTCACTCCAACAGCTGCCTGTCTTCACGTAGGCTACAACGAACAACTATGATGTAAATGACGTCACATGTCGTAACTCTAAGGATTGTTTACGACTGATGTGATTCGATGATGATTTGCCGCTGACGTAACTCTAGAGTTACTTTACGACTGCCATAAGTCTTATGATGCTTTACAACTGACGTAACCCGAATGATGCTTTACAACTGACGTGACTCGATGATGCTTTACGACTGACGTAACTCTAATGACGGTTTACCAATGACGTAACTCTCATGACGGTTTACGACTGACGTAATTCTAATGATACTTTACGACTGACGTAACTATAATGACGGTTTACGACTGACATAACTCTAATGACGGTTTACCACTGACGTAACTCTAATGACGGTTTACGACTGACGTAATTCTGATGATACTTTACGACTGACGTAACTCTAATGACGGTTTACCACTGACGTAACGCTAATGACGGTTTACCACTGAAATATAAAGTCATGTGCACAGTAAGGACTAAACAGCTCACCTTCTTTTGATTCGTTACATATGTCGTTAATCTGCATTGCGATTGGCTGCCACGTCAGTCGACTTTTCTGACTACAGTTACCCAGATGCTGCCTTGCACAAGTAAACAGCTCACTGTATTTGCTGAAACGAATAAAAGGAACATCTTTAGTTGTGCCTGGAGTCTTGCATGAAAGTAAATGTGATTCATTCTTCACATACAGTTAAAACTGTAATTATTCCGAAATTACATAATGCATACGTCAATATTTTTATATTTTAAATGCATATGCATACACACATAGTCATCTTCTTCACGTAAGGATCGTTTAATACAATAATGCTATTTGAATGTGCATGTTCGTGCAATTTAGGTGTTGCGTGTTTGTTGGGAGCCGAGACTCCAACGTATCTACAATGTTGATATCATGTTGTTTTGCCTATTGTGTGCTCATAAAACACTTTCTAACAGTATACACCTCGTATATTACGGCTTGTTGAAAATCATATTCTATGCGGCATTGGTTTATGGCATCCAGGAATGGCACCAATGAAGTTTACCAAACATTATATATTTCATCAAACACAATGTCCTCTGTTTTGCACGCAGGACGGGGTGATCCTCGGCGCACGTGACATGTTCATATTGTCAACACCAGAGCATTCATGCCACTTCATGTTAAACAATGTCACTCTTTTCCTGAACATGGTCATCGTTGAGGTGAAATATCCCATTGAATTAGTTGGACGTGGAATTTTTTGAAGACACGGGTAAAACAAGCAAAACCTGCATTCGGCGTCAATGTTGCCCGGGTCAACAAACGTCAACTTGGAGAAGATGAGGCTGCTGATGTGTGGACAGAAGGCCGCCTCCTCATTGCTGCACGCGGCCGCCCAACTCACCAGCACTGCAACACAAACATTTACATACTCTTCCAGTGCCGCCAGGTGACGCTCGTGCCTCGCTAGCATTCCACGATACCAGGTGGCACTGCAGAAAATTTATATCACGTGATTGTGTTTATTACTAAATATTAAGTATTAAACATTATATTTTGCATAAATGAAATTTGTTTTTCTATGCTAGAATGTCTCAGAAAGGTTTCTTTCTGTTCTGGTTCATCGAACACCTGGTGTTGTTTCAGAGCTTCAGTTGCAGCAGAGTAATCTGAGGACATGTTGGATATGTGTGTTGGATGTTGGATATGAGTGTTGGATGTTAGATATTTTACCTGTGGATGTCATGATACCAGCTGATCAACACAACATCAGTTACACCTTAAACCATGTATAGTAATATACCAGCTGATCAACACAACATCAGTTACACCTTAAACCATGTATAGTAATATACCAGCTGATCAACACAACATCAGTTACACCTTAAACCATGTATAGTAATATACCAGCTGATCAGCACAACATCAGTTACACCTTAAACCATGTATAGTAATATACCAGCTGATCAACACAACATCAGTTACACCTTAAACCATGTATAGTAATATACCAGCTGATCAACACAACATCAGTTACACCTTAAACCAAGTATAGTAATATACCAGCTGATCAACACAACATCAGTTACACCTTAAACCATGTATAGTAATATACCAGCTGATCAACACAACATCAGTTACACCTTAAACCATGTACAGTAATATTAAGAAAAAAAACACACCCCAAAATAAGTTTAGTTTAAACATATTTTATTCACAATGTGAAAAGGATCGGGGACAAGTTCTTTCAACTTATTAAACCCCTCTCCAAAGATATTTACAATAAGAAATTACATCACAAGCAATTATTAGAAACAGAGGCAGAGAAAGACTGAAAGATAACAGGGGGAAATGTTATAATACAAAAGGTGTATAAAGAGAAGACTACTGGAATCGTTTTGATTTGCATATATATTGATGTACATTTCTTAATATAATTTCCTTTTTATGATTTGTCAGATCTGCAATGCTGTTTAAAATAGCAGATAATGTAATCACAGAATTACTACCACATGCATCTTGAATAGCTTTAAACATGATCTTTCCATGTTGGTTGTATAAAGAACATTCTAAGAAATAGTGATGAGCATTTTCGCACGGGTTTCCACATGCGCAGGATGGATCAGTGATTAGCCCTACTCTGTACGGATCGTAACTTAATCTACTAGCTTCATGACGTAGTTGAGTATGTAATATGTTAACTTTTCTAATACCGTAAGAAAAGTACGGTGGAGCTGAGTTACATGATGTTATTATGCTCGATTTAAACTTTGATAGTGAAGTGCAATTTCTTACATCTGTAGATAAATTGTTCTACAATCTTATAGTCGATGGGAAGAACGACTCATGAGACTTTTTTATTCTTGTTTTGGCAAGCAGATATTGCCTGAATTTCTTAGATTATATTGACTCCTGGAGCCCACGCACTGAGGAATTATTCTTCTACGCTCTGATAGTGCTTCCATGCCTGTTTCATAATATAGTGATTTAAAAGAAGAATATTTGGGAAGTCCTGGAATAATTCTTGCAGCTTCCAGCTGGAGCCTTTCCACTTCTAAACTTAGTTCTTTTCCGCAGCCATCCCAGACTTCGTATGCGTACTCAAAGTGAGGGCTTATAAAAACTGTGTAAATCTTTAGAAGTGTATTTCTATTAAGAATTTATTTAAGTTTTCTAATTGAGTAAATCATTTTAGAGGTTTTGGAAACAATATTAGATACATGGGAGGACCATTTGTCGTTCGATGAAAGTATTATCCCCAAATGTTTATAATCTTCCGCCGTTTTAACAATCTTATCGTCAAATAATAAATTAATCGAGCACATATCATCTTTAAGTGAGAAAAGTACTGATTCTGTCTTATCTGGGTTGTAAGATATCAACCACTTGTTTGTCCAGTCGTTTAACCTTCTGAGATTTACGTTTAATGAGGTTTCTATCCTGTTAAGATTTTCAGAAGCCTTGCCTAATGATGTGTCATCTGCTAATAGTCGCGTTATGCAATCTAAGTCATCAGCAATATCATTTACATAAACAAAGAATAAAAACGGACCCAACACTGATCCCTGTGGGACGCCAGCTTGGAGTAACCTTGGTTTAGACAGGGCTCCATTAACAAAGACCTTTTGACAGGGATTACATATGTAATTACGTAACCACTCTACCTTTAATACCATACATTTCCAACTTATGTATAAGCCCTCTGTGCCAAACACGATCAAAAGCCTTCATCAGAAACATCACAAAAGACCATACAATATTGGTCCTTATCATCTAGAGCTTGGCATATTTGATGATATATTTCAATTAATTGATGGACAGGTGAACTCCCAGCTTGAAAACCAGCTTGGTATTTGTACAATAACTTGTTCTCTATGAAATAGTTAGATATATGCTTGAATACAACTCTCTCAAACAGTTTACCGACACAACTTATGAAAGATATCGGTCTGTAGTTTGATGCTTTAGTTTTGTCACTTTTCTTGAATACAGGCATTACATGTGCTAATTTCCATTCTGATGGATACACACCTTTTCGTAATGACAATTCAAAAAGCAAACATAATGGTTCACTTATTGAATGTGCAGTTTCTTTTAAAAGATTATGACTTATTCTGTCGGGACCCGCAGCTTTATTCAGCGGCAAACATTTAATTATATCTGTAATTTCCTGTTTAGTCACTGTTATAAATTCTAAAGTGGATTTTGTACGTCTATCAAACTGAGGAGGAGCCATATTCTCGTCATTTACACAGGAGATCGAGGCAAAGTGGTTAATTAAAAATTCAACTTTATCAATATCTGAGAAAAGAGACGGGTCATCATCATGAGGATATTGTTTGAGAGCGGGAATGCAAGTTGCTGTACCTGAATGTTTTACAACATATCGCAACATGCATCATCAACATATTCACATTTGTTAAAAATATCAAATCAATCAGTAGTTTCGATAATATTGTTAAGTTTATCGTATTTACCAGTTTTGTAACACCATACTTGTCTAGTAAAACACGTTCTGGTGGTGACATTTATGCCTAACGAATTATAAGTTCCTCTATGATCACTAACTTTCTTATCCTATTCAACAACACCGCTGGATATGTCCTCACTTACTATCACAGGGTCTATTAGCGCAGCAGTGGTTCTAGTCACTCTAGTAGGTTCCTTAATAACATTGTATAGGTTTTTTCGTTCCATTAGTCCACACTATTTATAATAATTGTTTACTTGACAGCAAATTTTCGTTTAAATCTCCAACAATCGTTATCTTACTGGATGCATCTAAGGCTGTTTCTACACTTTGATCTAAACGTTGCCAGAATGTATAGTTATACTCAGGTCTGCATACAACACATAATATTAAAAAAATTTGTGGAAGAAATAGCTTGATCCAAATCATTTCGTCAAGAATATTTTCTAAATCTACCATCCTTTCAAAGGCAAGTTGTTTACTTACATATATCATGACCCCTCCCCGAAAAGCATTTCTATCTTTTCTGACCGGTTCGTGAAAATTATCCCATAAAAGATCAGTGCTGTTTAAAGTCTCATCCAGGTGTGTTTCGGTAAAACAGACAATGTGGTAGTCAGAGAGAACTTCACTCAAATAATGTAACTTGTTGCGCACACTTCGTGTATTTAAGTGAAATATATCAAGTGCTTATTCAGAGTCATGGTTCAGTGGGCCTGGATTGGTCTCTACGTCCCCTGCAAGCAGTAGCAACAATAGGAGGACCACAGCTATGTTGGCATGTTGGCATTATGTAACTGACATTGTAGCAAGCAAAGAAATGTATGCACACAGCAGGTATTGCATTCAGTTTTGAACAAGCTGTACAACTTTCCAAATTCTTGACGAATGAACCTTGGAAATAACATTACATGAAACATTGACAGGAGTGGATTCTAAAGTGATTACAAGAGCTACATTAAGTAATACAATTGAAACTTCCTATCGCCACACGGTATTGTGTTAAATCATTACCCATATGGAAAATGTTGACAACAATATGTAGTAAAAGTATCCATGTGACACACATGATAGGAAGATTGGATATAAACAGAATAAATGCATTTTTCTTTACACGATTCATCACATCTATATTTCAACCGGCAATGCAGATCTGACTTCAGGTAAGAGTTAGGGTATAGCAGAAGTGTTTTGTAGACAGGATATAACATTGGAGGTACTACGACTTCAGGTAAGAGTTAGGGTATAGCAGAAGTGTTTTGTGGACAGGATATAACATTGGAGGTGCTATGACTTCAGGTAAGAGTTAGGGTTGAGTCGATTCTGCGTTTCGTTTTCAGATCTCTTGCTGTTTTAAAAGGTTTGCTTCTGTGCTGGGTTAAGTCCTCGTTAATATACACGGAACTTCGTTTGTGTCGTAGGTTTCTCCTGTTGCTGATGGCCTTGTTCCGATCCCAGTAACTGACAAATTTTACAATTATCTGTCTGTTTTGACCTGGTGAACTGTTTCCCGCTCGATGACACCTGTCAATGTCGGAGATGTTGATGTTGGGGTGAACGTCTTTCAGTATTTCCATAACGACTTCATCAGTACTTTCATCACTTGTTTCTGGAACACCACTTCCGACGATTATATTGTTCGAGTTAATCTATCTTCATTTGCAGCTCGTGGCGAAGTTCGTCAATTTCACTTTTCAACGGAGCAACAACATCGTTCAACATGCCATACATTGCAGCTCTGGCCACACACTATAAAGGATTCCTTGAATTTATCTCGGAGACCTGGCATCATCGACACGTTTGTCAGCTTCGTAGTAAGAACATCCATCGACGCCTGGTTTATGAACTCAAACACTGTGGGTGTTCCCTCTAGTTCAGGTGAGCTGAGCGGTGATCTAGGCTGGTCACTTGCTTTGGGTGCAGATGTACTCGTCCCAAA